GAAAAAGGTGTGGGAGGGGGATGGGCGCCAAATATAAAATTTTAGCTTGGGGAATTAAATAGTGTCGCAGATATTGGTAAAGAAATGTTAAAAATTATATATGCTGCTGCCTAAATATGTATATACTTACACAAATTTCTTCGTTGCTTAGTAGCCGTCACGTCGTTGTCGATCAGATTACTGTTAGAGACAGTACAATGTTTCTTCAGTGGTGACACGTTTTTAAGTCTATATAAAGTGTCCCACAGAAAATGCTCCTCCTATATTAAATTTCTATTTTTTTAGCTGGAAAATGTTAGTTTGTACTATATTATACTAAGTCAACTTAAATACGTATAGCGTCACACTCGCTTTACTATAGTGTCACATTTGTTCGTTGACCAAATAAGAGATAGCCAAAACTAATATTTTGGAAGCTACATATTAAATTTCCGAAGCGAAAATTGTATATTTCTATTTTATATTTTGTATTTTACATCTCACATTTTATATTTCTAAAGTCTAAAATGTTTTATTTTTTACAGAATTTATGGGATATCCATAACAAACTAATTCATAAACATGAAAAAGATATCAATTTAAAATGATATAAAATATTAATACTATACATATATGATAATGTATAAAGTCTCGTATTACAAGAATTTAAAAGACTGGGTCTGAAGAGTTTCAGATTACATGATATATACATAAATTGTGAAAATCACTCAATATGAAAACTTAATATGATATATACATATCTGTTTCAATAAAATATGAATTATAATAGTGTTATTGTTTCATATTTTTGTACTATTATATTTTTTCATAAATAAACATATCCTTTTTATCATAAACTATTTTCTCTTAATAACAAGTTCCTTTCTTATTGCAGTCGTTCGTAAAACAGTTTTGCATATTTACTGAATACATGTATTTACTGAATGTCCAATTTATAGATACAGGAATAAATGGTCAAAACTTCACGAACATTTATTGATACTTTTACTACAATTCAAATATCTAGGAAATATTGTCCAATGAGTTCAAGTCCCAAGAATTAAGGGTAATAATCTTCATCCTTAGGTATTACATTAAAATTATTTTTTTTTACAAATTATTTCTTTATATGCTCGTATTTATTTTTAAAACAGGTCATGATATAATTAAAACGATATTTTGAATTGACAAACAACTAGAAGCTTAAGAAATAATAAATGGAATATTTTTTAAGTTATTGAACAATTGAAATAATTTTTTGAAAGAAGTGCAAGCGTATGTTAGAAAAGATTGATTATCCCCTTAAAATCAAGGACAAACTAGCGGTAATAAGTGGGAGAGTCGCAGAGAAACGACCATTATCACGGTAAACACAAGTGATAAGTGGAAGTGTAGTACAATACTGGCTGTCAGCATCGTACTGTCTTGAGAGGAGGAACCGTTGGCACACATATTGGTTGGAATTACGTAATAATAGGCACGCTAAAATAATTGATAACAACATTAATCTTACGATCTTGTCAGTGGTCGCCGATCCTATAAATTCAATCAATACTTAAAACGGCTACAAGTTACATCTTGGAGTTTCTCCTGTTGTGACCGATCTCAACTCCGAAAACTTATTTCGCGTCCACTTTCGACAAATATTCAATATAGCACGTATTTTTCTCAACCGTAATCATGAATGAGAGTGAATTTGAAATGAAAGAAGTTGTACTTCGTGACGTCGAGCCAATGTTACAACAGAGGCTCGGGAATGAAGTGATTGTCGAAAATTTCAGCACTGAATCGCTATTACCTCCTGGAGAAAATTATGGAAGTTCGATTTTCAGCGTGAATGTTGAATTGAAGCGTAAAAATACAGGGAAGAAAGAGGACCTTCATCTTATCGCAAAGATGTGTCCACCAACAGAATACCAAAAACGAATCTTCAATAGTTCTCGTACATTCACGAAAGAGATTTTCATGTACGATACTATCATGCCGGCTTATAATAAATTAGAATTGGAGTGTGGTTTGAGAAAGAACGAGTTGTTCGAGATATTGCCAAAGTTTTATGGGTCTAGACTGTCTTTACAACCAGATGGGGTTTTCGACGAGGACGCTGTTATTCTAATGGAGAATCTGAAAATTGCAGGCTACTATACCGGCGATAGGACTTCAGGTATGTATACGTATATCCTGTTGTGTAAAATTAATAATAAAAGATGCTTTTCCCTTTTTTATAGATGCAGTTATTAAAGTAATTAAACTAATCAAAGGAAGTCTTTATGCTTCTTTTCTTTTACAAAATGATACGCCGTACGCTTTTATTACACCATAGTATGCAATTTAGGTCGACGATGCTGTTTGTACTTTTAATGATTTAGTTCAAAGGTTTAGCTATTCGTATCGTCTTTGTGATAAAAAATCGGACTTTGTTTGGGCTTACTTAGAAAGGAAAATATTGACATTAAATGTTAATGACTAGGTGCTATACAGTCGACACCGTTTAAATCACTTTTTAGATGCTTTTAAAAATCGTTTTCGAATTTGTTTCTTTTCTTTTCTAAGATTTTATAAATATTCTGATATTTGAATTTGTTTTAACGTAAAATGTACGATAAATAATACTGATAATTTTTTTGTAGTGCCAAAGTAAAGTAAAATCTAATCAATTTCTTGAAATCTTGAAAGTCTGATATACGAGCGATAACTTCAAAGTTATTAAGAATTGTAAATATTCCTTTGGAATGTAATTGACATTTACACAAATAACATTACTTATGACACAAACATTTTAAGAAAGAAGTTTATATCAATTTATTTATTAATTACTTATTAACTTAATTACTCCGAGTCGAGTCACGTTCAGTGTCCTATAAGTTGTCGTCTGTCCACGATGAGACTTTTTACATCCGTACTTTTACTGAATTATACTTCTGATCTCGATGATTCAAAGATGATTAATTCGCTACTGATTTTATATCTCATTTTCAATTAATCCCCTCTAATTCTCGAATCTTTTGTAAAATACTTAAATCCAAGTAAGTTTCTTAAAAATCTACTAAGCTTGACACACCTATCCATTTCTATTTTCGAATCTTCTTTAAAATTCTAATTTGTCCGATTGTTTTATGCAGGTTACGACCTAGAACATTCAGAGGCAGGAATTAAAGCTCTGGCGAGATTCCACGCTTTAGGAATAGCTACGAAACAGAAAAAACCCGGTATGTTCGAGGTGTTCAAGATGTACGCAAAACCTTTACAAATAGAGGGTACCACGGATAACATGTTCGCGCTGATACTCCAGCAGATTCAAGCAGATCCAGAAATAAGTCCTTATTATGACAGATGTAATAAAATTTTGACTGGATTGGACATGCAGCAATTATGGTCGGAAAACCTTCGCGAACCTTGGACGAGTATTATTCATTCGGATTTCTGGGTGAACAACGTGATGTTCCATCAGAGCGAGGATGGCAAAATCGACAGTATAAAGTTCGTCGATTTTCAAATGTACCTTTACGGAAGTCCTGTCCGCGATCTGCTCTTTTTCCTCTACTCTAGCGTGCATCAGGATGTGACGGAGGAACAATTAGAGGATATGATGGATCTGTATTACGAAATTCTGTTAGGTACGCTGAGTAAAATGGGATGTACGACGGATATGTTTAACAAGGAAGAATTCAAAACGAAAATGGCCGAGGATGCTCCACGCGAATTCATGCATGTATGCTTTATGATAAAGTTACTCACATTGGACACGAAGGCAATCGACAATTTTAACGTGGATAAAATGCAAGAGGCGATAGTCGGATATAGCGGAAGTAATATATTTAACGAACGACTACGAAGGCTGGTCCTATGCTTCGTTGCACGTGAATGGATATAGAGAATTTATTTGCGAGGATAAATCGTGACTTTCAGTACAAAGTGCCTTTTTACCTAATCATATCGTGTCACTGCCTTTCGAAAAGCTCATACCCTTTAATTAATATCGCGATAGATGATATCACGCTAACAGAAATATCATACTCAACGATCGATTTGACTCATATCTGTAATCTGTACGTGAGATCAGGCAAATGAATATCGTTGGTAAAATAAATCGATCACTTTATCTCATTTCTTGACGACCAAATATCAGTCCCAACGAATTGACAAAAATAACAAAGAATTTCGTCGAGATGCAGAAGATATAAAAGTTTATTACATCGACGATGGAAGACGGGCTTTTAATTAATGCCTGATTAGGCACAATGATAAAATTTTATCAGAAAAATCGATAAATCATACTCAAAGAACGTGTAATTAATATTGTGCTTAATTAATATTATAACAAATGATACAATAGTATTTTATATTTATTATAATATTACTTCATGTAAAGATTTTGTTACATCTTAATTGTATGATAACAAAATCTTTTTATGTATAAATTGTATATAAAATATGCAATTTTTAATTATTTTCTGATACATCGGGAAATCGTCCGAACAGTATATTTTATGAGGTATTTTAATATATTCTGTACATACTTTATATTACCACAAAGTGAAAGGAAATGATTAATAAAAATTTTTTTAAATACGATACATGTATTTTATTCAGCTTACATCCTGATTAGCTTTATCTTCTATAAATGAATATGATTTTAACGCGAGTTTGTCTTATAGTGATTTGGGAGATAAACGAAGAGTATCACTTAATCCTTCGATAAGAAATTTCAACTTTGTTTGCATTACATATACCTAATTACTTTCAATTATATCAAAATTAAAATAAACGGAAGTAAAATATTTTCAAGTGAATATTACCGATAAAAACTGAAATGAAATTTCATAGAAATTTCTTTAGATAAAGTAGTTATAAAAAAAATTAATTCGAAGTATAAAGAATTAATTTAACATGTGATATTAAATATTTTTTAACGTAACCATTTTTTAATTGTTTATAAAATCTCTTATAGTGACAACGTTTTAGGATAACATTACGTATCTTTGTTTAAAGAAACGATTAATATTCATGTAAAAAAGTAATTATATCAGGAAATATATATTTCTGGAAAATCAGTATAAAACATTATCGAAAATGATAATAATAGAAATTACGTGTGTATTTTTGTAAATTATCTGATAAAAAATATCGCGAATCGTTTTAAATGCATTATTATCGGTTTTATGTAACAATAATTCTACATTTTCATGAAATAAATTCATAATAAATTAAAAAATATATCATTCATAAAGCATAGAAAATCGATAAAAACGATAGGTTTATAAGTCTTTCATGATTACAATGATTTATACAATTATATCCACGGATTATTAGATTCTCCTCGTTTTTAGTGAAAAAAATACAAGTGCTTTCTCTTAAGTAATATTTCTTATTGGAAAAAAATGTATTTTTTCATTATTTAATTGCTCTCAAAACTAATATTTACCATTTTTTAACGAACCTTTTATTTGACAAATAATATCAAACAAATTAGGGTCCTGATAATTCGTACATTCACTATTTATGTTTTATTAAATACTATTTTTGCAATACTATCATTTCAGAATGAAAAAGAACTATTTGCGTAGAAAATAGTTTCTTAATGTGCAAACAAAGTGAGCAAATGTGTGTATTTAATCTTTTGAAAGTGATAGGTAATGTGTAACACGTATTAGAAGTACGAGAAAATTTGCTGCTACATTGGAATTGTTTTTTTTTAATGTTATAGAAGAAATATTACAAATTCTAGATAATAATATACCGATTTGTATAATTAGATTAAAATAATGTAGTAAAGTTTAACATAATAAATATTTATTATTATGTTATAATAATGTGAATTGTAATGTCTGTTTCGAAGTATAATATTATATAATGTATTGTAGACTTTTAGATATTAAAATTCTCATTTACAATTATTGATAAAGCTAATCGTATCGATGATTTAGCACTTTTGAATAGATTACATTTTGAAATAATTTCCTTAATTTCAGAATACGATTGATTCTTTTTGTGAATTAAATATTTCGTATTCTATATTTTAAAGTTTAAGATTATTTGTTTCTTATATTTGGTAAATAATTAATAACCTTTTGTAATTTTATTATTTTAATCTGATATCAATACTTTTACGTAAAAATTAGTCTCGTCAATAATCAATAACAAATTATACGTTGATAACCTTATATTTTTTGTCTTCTAATATCGATTTAATTTACTAATCAAATTGTTTTGTAGATTGTAATTAAAATATAAAATTTTTCATGTAAAATATAATTTAACAAATTTGAAAAACAATTTTTCTTTTGATATTTTTTGTCAATAAATGAAAGTATGTTCATGATTGTGATATTTCTCGATTTTTCGCATTAATTAAAGAATTAACTATTATAATATAATTTGATTGAGATAAGAAACATACATTTAATTATTTTATTGACTTACCATTTTCTGTAATTAGTAAATATTCAATTACTCGTAATGATATTAATAATTGGAGGAAGAAACTTCATTGACATAGTTATTGTAATCGACAGATTTGAACACTGGAAATGAAAGAACAGGAAGGATGAAAGTATGTTATAGAATCAGATTTATATTTTTTAGTAAAGTATTATAACATGTAAAGTAGTAAAATTTAATCATTTTAATTAATCACAAAAAAAAAAGTGAAATCGTTTGCACTCAATTGGTAGGATATATGTATGTATATACATAATTCTACGCATATATTTACGCAATAGTTAATGCTTATGATGGAGCGAGCAGTTTCTTAGTGGTTGAGGCCACTTTTTTTTTAGTTTTTCTATATTTTTACAAAAGTTTTAACCAGATTTACCTGCAAGAAATTGTATCACGAAATATAATTCTGTAATTAAAATAATGAGTTTGTTCGTGATGCAGAATTTCCATGGATTAACTCTATTTATATTACTCATATCTATTCTAACCTTATCTATCAGTGATGAAATTAAAACAGATGGTAGTAAGTCTTTAATGCCTACATCAAATCCACGTTTTATCGATGGAGATTCTAAAACCGAACATCGAACTTTATCTTCGTCAATTCACTTTACACGTGAATCTGTTAATTCTATAGAAATACTGAATGTATGTAATGATTGTACTTGACAGTTATTAAATGTTTAAATAACCAATCTTTAATTTAAAATAGTTTAAATATTTTAAATAATTAAAATAGTTTAAATATTTGATATATTTTAGTTCTTTGCTCTCTTTTTTTTTTTTGGATAAGTTACATATAATGACATAAAATAAATATGTAATTGACGTATGTGTAAATATTGTTGCAGAGAAATATTGCCACCCCTTCAGTTGCAGGGGAAGGTGGTCCAATTTTTATTGTTTCTACTACTGAACAAACATCTACCACTTCCCATTTAATAAATACTGTCAGTAATTCAAATGTACAGTCCAATTTAACAAAAGAGGAAGATAATGCTTCATATGTAAAAAGAAGAAAGAATACTTCTAAAATTGTATCGAGGAAAGGAGCAGAAAATGAAGCCACTCCTTCAGTTGAAAGGACATCTGATGATGTAAAGCCAGTAATTGAATCTTCAACAATAGCTAATATTGTTCACACTAATGAGAAGGTTGATATAAATGTAAATAATTCAAAATCAAATATTACTGACAAGCATATAAGTAATGTTCCAAACACTACTGTAAATAGTATTTTACATCTTATAAATATAACACAGCAAAAATTATCAACAAATGCTCCTATAACAGCATCATCAACCCAAGAACATAAACCTAAACCAACAGCAACAGTAATAGGACCTAATAGTGATAAACAGGCATCTATACCTCATATTAAAGGTTCACGCTTAGGAATGCCAAAGAAAATTGATTATGTTTTACCAGTTATTATTACTCTTATAGCTTTGCCAGTTTTGGGTGCTATTATTTTTATGGTTTATAAACAAGGTAGAGATTGTTGGGATAAGAGACATTACAGGCGAATGGATTTTCTTATTGATGGAATGTATAATGATTAATGTTTACAAATGAAATGGCATTTAAAAAGTTGGATCATAAAGCTACTTTCATATGCAATATATATATACATTTCGTATATACAATATATTACATAACAATTGAATATACTCTGCCATTATAGCTGCAATGAACATACATATTCCAATTATAAAAACATTTATTAATTTTTTGTTTTAGTGCAACTTGCTATATATGTTATTTTTATTATGCTATTACCTTAATATGAGACTTGTTATTGCATATTATGGTTTATATGAAATTTAAACACGTTCAAGTTTGTACTTTTAGACAAATGGTGTATAGGAAAGACAATATGGAAATAATAACAAACTTACAATCATGGCAATAAGAATTTTTTATGAATTATACAAATAAAATACCTTCAAAGGTAAGCTTTGAATCTTATTTCGTAAAATAATAATTAAAAAAGTTTATAATTGTATAGATGAAAAGATGTGTATTAAAACATCTAATATAAATAATATATATCATACAAAATTTTGAGATCAGTGATTTAATTTTGTATTTATGTCTATAAATGGTTTATTACCATAACATATTATTTTGTCATTAAAAAATCTTAATAGAAACTCAAATGTGCCAAGAATTTGATTCTAAATATAGTAATATTAATGCATTCTCTTTTCATATAATGAATTAAAATAAGTTTTCTTGATACATGTGAAGATGTTGGTTTTTAATGATATTTCCATATGATTTCCTTTTCACTAAAATTTGGTTGTACCTTTTAAACTTAAGTAAAATACTCATCACATTAATTTACAAATTGTAAAATAGTAATATCTAGTTCACCAAAGAAATATTTGATTTGTGTAATTTGATATTTGCATTTATTTACTATAATTATATTATTATTTTTTCATTTACATTCTGGAAAAAATTTATTGATGTAAAATAATTATTATTGCCACAAAGAAAGAAGTGAAATGAATGCTGAATGTCCATTTGTAAAATTATCATACTGTAGAAAATATAAGCAATGATTTATGCAATTACTTTATCTAATAAGGTTTCTGCTATTGTTATTAATGATGATGGAATTTTATGAACTTTCTTGTTTGTTTAACGTTCGTAAAATTTATATATTATCCAGATGTAATAAAGCAATAACTATTTTTATATATATATGTAAAAAATCATTCATATTCTTATAAAATATAGATACTTGTAACTGAAGATGTTTTATTATTTTGCATGTTGTGTAGTTACATTTATAAAGCAAAGGAAAATTCATAATTTTGATTTTTAATTTTTATTAGGAAGCTTGTAATGTAGGTACATAAAATCAGTAATATTAGTATTGCATATCAATTACAAAGTGTATACTGATAAAGAATACTGTAGCTATTTTGCATAATAATCATTAAGAAATGATAGGATAGCATTGTGTTCTAATAAATGTGATACATCATTTTTATATACTTTTTATACATGTTTGTGTTACATAAAAATAATGTTTTGTATATTAAAAAGCTTCAATTCTGTGATTTGATCTGCATGTTTATTACATACATAAGTTTAATTTAAGAAAAACATTTTTAATGATATTAATGTCTCTAATATTTTTGGATAGTTTGATTTATTTTGCAAATTTAAAGCTTTAAAGTGCATAATCTTTGATGGTTTATAACAATCTAGAATAATTATACTTTTTACTATAATGCTACAATCATAATTTCGTCTTAGATTAAATTTATTGCTTTTATTATTGAATTAAATATAAAAATAGTAATTGTCATAAATAGTTTCATCTTAATGTTGTAATTTCAATACAAACATAATTTTGTCAAGTAGCATCTTCAAAATATTGCTATGTTATGTAATTATTAATAAGGTAATAATCTAATAATCTAAAATTCGGTTCATTAAAATTGTGTTAAAATTTTTATAATATTCCAGATTCTTTTTTTGAATTGAAAAACAAATGTAATACAATATTTCCATTGTAAATCTAGAACGATTGTTTTTACATTTGAAAGTACTGATTAGAAATATTTCCATAAAATTACATTTGTCGTGTTTTCATATAAAAAAATTGTACAAATAACGAATAGATCGTTTAATAATAGTGTTATAATCACACCATTGTAATATTCATAACTAAAATCGCTTACAAGATGAAAGTTATTAAAAATATATAGTTTTTGTATAAAGAAAATATACTTGAAAAATTAACCAACTACTCACATTGAAAAATGTCAACTTTTACTATATTTTACTAATTAAATTTAATTGACCAACTGTTCTCAACTAAGAATGGAATAAAAAAGAAAAAAAAAAAAGAAAGAAAAAGATACTACAAATGTAAAAGTACTTTATACTGCATTTTAAAATTAAAAATTATCATACCAAACTTTCATATTTAAACACGATGTTCGAGAAAACTTTCTACTTAGATTTATACTTTACTTCATCCGGAAAAGCTTCTCTTGGAGGAACCAAGCTAAGCATCATTACATGACGTTGATAAGCTCTGGAATTACGAAATTGCGTATCTGTTCCGTGAACACGATCTAATACTCCTAAGACTCCAAAGCATTGGTTAAATCTAAAATAACACAATGTTCAATACCCATTTTTAAATACAAACAATTAATTTTAATTTTCAATTTTCCAAATATTAATAGTTGATAATATTAAATATATTAAACTTCGATATGAAATATAATTATATGTTGATAGAGATTATGAAATATTAATGAAAAAGTAAATATTATAAATTATCTTCTTAGTGGATTTTAATGTAGTTCAAGTCATTTAATGTTGCAGATAATTAGTTTCAAGAATATATGAAAAATACTTACTTTAAGTGATGAAAATCGTGAGCTTCTGGCGATGGAAAAAACGGTAGATGGTAACCGGAATGAGCATTTAATGTAGAAAGAATAGCAAGCGAGAACCAAAGCCAAGCAGTAGCCACATGAGAACCTACGATGAATACTCCCAAAAACGGTGGTAATAGATTCGAGCCAATGTGTTCTAAAGGATGACAATATAGCGATGTTACAGCTATGGGAGCTGTCCATTCGTGGTGCTGCTTATGTATATACTTATATAGATAGCGGCTATGCAGAAATCTGTAATGTAATTTTACTTTTACACAAGTCTTTTTACAAGAGAGTATATAAAATATATGTAATAATACAGAGGAACATTTATTTACACATGATTTTAATTGTTTAGTAAAAGTTACTTTTTATTACTTAAAAAATGATAACAAATATTAATTAAATAATAAATAAAAATATATTTAAATTATTATGTTAAATACATTTAATTATATTTCTTTTATCTATACAAAAATACCAAATTTTAATTACTTTAAGCAATAAACAAAATAATTTTAATCTACAATAAGTAAATTTATTTAAACAAATATAAAGAAGATTCGTTTCTTTTTAATTCAGTATACATACCTTTCAGGATGAATTAATTTAGAGATTAAAACGGACCATCTCGCATAATTTATACTTATTAACAGTAAAATGTTTTCTAATGAAGGTTCATGAATGATTTAAGGGCAAAGTTAACAAAGTACTTTAATGGCATAAAAATTTTCCATACCTGTGCGAGTAATAAAATCCAATTTCCTCGCACAATATGTGAATAGCGATTTCAACGAGTACCCAGTGGAAGGTCGGCAATTCGCGTACAGGGGGATAACCGCGCCATTCCATAAAGCGATAACTGACGTACGCTAAAGGAAGTCCAACAATTATCTGATTGAATAGTACTTGAGCGATTACTTTGCACAATTCCCTCGTGTCGACTGGTTCATTCGTGCCTGGTTGTATTTTATATTTCCGCAAAGCAGCTGGCCGATTAGTTATATCTAGAATCGTGTAAATTCCACCGAAAAACCAATATACAAAGAACGTCAGTCCCAACGAGCCTGGAAAATATCAATTTCAAATTTGTAATCTTTACGTTTGTACAAGAAATCAATACGTATGTGACAATAAGATTATATGTTCCAAGATAAGTTTCAGCACAATGGTAATACAGAAATTCGTTTCTATCTTTCAGTAGAATCTGATAAAAATAGAAGTGATAATTTTCTTTTCTTTGTATTATTTCAGACGAAAGAAAGAAGAATTTGAAAAGAATTCGATTATACACTATTGCATATCAAGTTTCTTAAAAAAAAAATGATTCTTTTTTATTAATATGTCCAACATATTTGACATACATATAAACAATTCAATGGAATTTCGTTAAAACAATTTTCTTTTCCTAATAAATTCAATGATTGTTTGACTCATGATCAATTGATAACCAAATTTGCATATTTTAAGCAGCACTTATCTTGGAATGTGCTGTATATTGTTGCTGTTTTATATCTTCGTGTACCATGAACCCAGAGTGTAACGGGATCGTCTCCTAATTTGTCTAAAATTCTATCCCATTGTGCTTGCCAGAAGTCACCAGAAGCTCCCCAAAATCTTTGTAGATGCCTAAGAAAAAAAAAAGGATCAGAATAGCGAAACAATTACGACGAAATTAAACAATTGGATCTTGGAGATAACATCTCGTATTTAATCAAAACTCAAAAATATAAAAGTCATGGTTGTATACCTTATCCGTTAAAATTTACCATGTTAGTGAGTTGCAGAACGCAGCGAATCCAATCACTACAGTTCCGATTACGAAAAGTACACTCCTTAAACTCGAAAGTAAGGTCGGTGTTTGATTTTTACAGTCTTCGCCGCTGGCAGGAGTCCCTGCAAGAAACAAGTTGTTATTATTTTTTCGTAGCTTTCATAGTTTTCTATTTAAACAGCTTTTAAATCGTTTCAATCGTTATTCAATTAGAAAAATATTTTTTGATTCAATTCATATCGAAGTAACAGTAACAGTAAGCTAAATGTATCGATATTAAAATGCATTGCATAATCCAATTATACGGTGTATTTTAATGTCAAAAGTATCCAAATAAGCTTCAATTTTATGATTTAATAATGTTTAATAATTTTGAGAAAAATGTGTTCATTTTTATGTAAAATATCGATATTAAATATAAAATCTAATATTTAATATATGAAAAAATAGTAACTTTAACACTGGGTAATGATTTAAATAACAAATTTACTATATGCGTTTCTTATCATGTTTCGCAAAAGTAGCGTAAGCAGATATTTAGCTTGCATTGACGGTCGAAGGCAACAAAAATGTATCAGGAAAACCGGCGTTTGCACAACAGGATGTGATACAAGATAACCAGGATTTGATCGACAATGCACTGAACAGCCATTCGACTTTAGCCCTTTCAAACACGCGATTATGTGCAATTACCATTTTTAACGCGATCGCGGTCAAGTTGCATAAAGGGATTATCGGTTAGCTCCTTACATACTTGCGAATTCAAATTTGCTAAATAATTCAACGATTTTTACATATATACGATACATACAGCACATATAATTTAGATAAACAATAAAAAATCAATTTTTATAATCTTTCATAGGTAACTTAAAATAATTTTCTTCTTAAGATTTATTTCCTAGTTAGTGTAACATTACTATTTTGTATTATTGTAATGCTATTTAATAATATTTTTTAAAAATTATAAAATAACATTATTTACTTTCTTTTTTCAGAGAGAACAATTGTTGGACTGAAAAAAGTGTATGTACATATGGCAGTTAAAAGAGGTCGATGGAGATTCAACAAGATCAAAGATTCATCGGGTACGCATGCACTGGACTAACAATAAGAATTACCATAGTAAATCTCGTAGATAATACCTCGCTTGTTGTATCAACGAATAGCATCAATGTTAAGCCAACTACGAACTTATTTAAACACCACACCGTATATTGAGATCTACCTAATTGCTAGACACATATTGTAATGTAATCATATATCGATTAATGTCTTTGTTTGACACATAATATAATTAAAATTTTGCTTAACACATTATGCGACTCATCTACCTTTATAATTGAATGTATCGTAGAAAATAGAGTGAGAAATATTCTTTTCTTTGAGGGGTTTACTTAATTTCGTAGTTTGATAACAAAATGAGGGAACTTAATGAAACTCTGATATAAATCGCCTGACGAATTACTGTAAATACACTATTCTTCTGTTATCTATTAAGAATTTTATCATTCACAAATACGAGATAAGGGCAGGCATTGTTCTTGGTTCCTTTGTACTTTGATCTTTTTTTTTTTTTTTTTTTTTTTTTTTTTTTTTTTTTTTTTTTTTTTTTTTTTTTTTTTTTTTTTTTTTTTTTTTTTTTTTTTTTTTTTTTTTTTATTTTTGATATCTAGTATATTTTTAATATTTCTATGTTCTTTCATTTTTATCTGTTTTTCGATGTAAGTTTCTATATTGCTTACTTTAGAATTTAAAACAATTTATTGCAATCTAGTGCTATTAATCTCTACGAATAAATCATAAGCTAATGAGACATAGATTTAACTTAATTTTACTTCAACGGACATTTTTCTTAAGGAAATCCACTGCGAGATTTACTAACGTAATTTGTTTCTTCTGACTAATTTTTGTGCTCTGCTAATTTAAATAGAATATTTGGAAATATTAATAAATATTATTTGTTGTATGGTTTCTATACGCATATATTGATTTTGACCTGTTTCGTTGGATTAAACAATTTTTTATTTTTCAATTATTTAATCACCTTTGCTCAGGTAAATATATCTAAAAGAAGAAAAGGAATTTAGTTGTATATTGACACGTGTAGCGTTTCTAAAGGATCGCGATTTTGTGGTATAGTATCACAACACGCGAGGGTGAAAGTTTCATGAGCTCTGAAAACATAATGAGATTTCACTCGCAGTAATACATCAATTTTTGAGGCATTTATTTTTAGACTGTCGATAATCATAAACTGAAACAAAGATTCCTACCACTGAACTACGTATAACTTACAGTAAATATTCAAGTTATTTCTCTACATCGATGTCGTTTCTTTGAATCTTCGCATTCTTTTACGTATTTTTCCTTTATATATTATTAATATTTCTTTTTACACGTTAATAGCAAAATTTGTTGTTTAATATCCATTTTATTTATATACTTTTTCATCGCAATATATTTTATCGCGAAATTAATAAAAGACTTTAAATATTTATGATATTATTTATACTTACAATAAATAGCAACGTATAGTGTTTGCTCACACATGCTTTTCTACGTATTTATGACGTATTAACGGTATTGATATTATTGATTCTGATTGAAGATATTTGCGGCAATTGCTTTTAACAATATTGAGATTTCATGCTATATAAACAAGCTATCAATATGAATAAAGTGGAACGAAATTATCACCATTATCATAAATATGAACATAAATGCTCATGAAAGTCAAAAATGATAGTAATAAATTTAATGAATATATTATATTCATATTTTGATGGTAATACATCGTACAAAATTATTCTAAATGCTGATGAAATCTGAACTTGTATGCTAGAATTTCATTATCGTTTTCTTTGCTTACTACATGTAATTTTTGAATTACTTGAAAACACAGAAAAACAAAGTTAATGAAGTAGCTGATATTCAAGGACGGATAGTTTCTTGTTTATTTTCTAATTAGGAAGTTCATACGATCGATTATAAATATTGTACATAGTATCGCGCATTGTCTAATACTTTTACGAGTACTTTGCTTTATTCCTTTATCCATTTTGTCAGGTAACTAAATTTTTCATAAAATTTAACTTTCTTTTGTAAATAAAATTTTTAAATAAAATTGCAAAATACCAGTAGTCGAATTGTGTCTTTCGTATAATTTTGAATGTACCAACACACTATGAGTAATAAAAATCAAATGTAAAATAATTATCGAAATATTAATATTTGTTAAATTACTCAAATTTATTATTTAATTATATTATTTCTATTTGTTAAATTTTATCATAGTTTTTTCGTTTCTCTTTTCAGATAAAGAAGTTTCGAAAAGACTATACCAAAATATTTATTTGATACAACGCTCGATAGATGACGTTAATGCATTTAGCGCGACTATACTAACTTCAACACCTCGATAATCAATGTATGTATATATGTACTACACGGTTTTCAAATTCATGGATGTAAAAAAAGTTGCTGTCAACGCAAATCATTTATACATTGCAAATTTACAAATGCTAGAAATTCTATATAATTCTATAACTACGCAGTATAATTCTAAAACTGCGCAGTTAGTGCAAATTGCGTAATTAATATCTATCATTGCTTTCTTCTTCGAATAGTGAATCATCTGTGAGTTTTTACGATATGAAAAAATTCACCATTAGAATGTAAGTGACAAGCACGTGCATATGAAAATATTTTCCTGGGAACTTTTATACATATCTTTCGTATATATGTTAAAATATTCTTTTTTACGTAATTTGCTGTTACCTCGAAATAAAAAATGGTTCTTCTATCAAGAGTAGTTTCTTCGATAATAATTTCTTGAACAAAAAAATCTACTTCTGCTACTTCAGACTGTTTTATTGTAATTTAGTAACAGGGTTTACAATACTAATAATAAATATATTCCTAGTATTTTTTTCGTGCTAACTTTAAGAGGGATATTTTACAGTTCATAGTTTATGCACATGTCTGCAGTTTCATAGCAGCCAATTGCGATCAAAAACTGTAAATATATAATGAAAAAGAAATTAAATTTGGATAGGTAACGTTTATATTTAAAAATCAAAAAGTTTATGTATTCTTCTAACTTTGTTATCTACAGTCGTTACAGTTTCTATTAAAACTGATTCTTCGGATAACGTCTAGAGGACGTTATCGAAGAACCAGTTGTTTTCATCGTGTCACCCGTTTGAACATTAACATAGTATTTTTTAGATCGAAGACAATATCGAAACTTATGTATTTATTTTAAGTGAAGTCATACGTTACATATCTTTAATTAGTGTGAAGTTCAATTGCAGATCTTGTGTGACAATTATTTCTTTTGCAAGAATGTTTATATCAGATATAGTTTATTATTGCGTGTGAGTTGTAGGTTGGTGAATATATTGTCGATTATAATTGTCATGAATGTCGTGAACAAAATTTCATAGTTTCCTGATCTTGTATAGCATAATCAAAGCATTTATTAATGCGTTGATTACTTTGAATGATTATTTCCAAAATGAATCATTATTCGATGACGAAAATTATAAAACTGTTATATGTACAATTAAGTAAGTTGTATTATTATCGTTTATTTTCCATATATTTCCCATTAGATAATTTTTATATACTTTTTCAGAAATTTCTAGAACCTCGCAAATTTATTATTTGAATCTACAAAGGAATATTTTATGTTGGAAGCATGGTCTAAAATTGGCTATATTTTATTACTGAAAATGTAGGTATGAATCAAAACGCAATAGATTATTTATATAATTATAAACAAGTTATAAGCCCAAACTTTAAAAGAATATTCATTTGCGATTCAATTTAACCATGTATTAATACACTGCAGGCAGATCACGAAATTTCACAAATTTTAGAATAATAAGAAAGATACATAATGACGAAAGTGATTATAAAATCCATCAGTTATACCCAAAATTTAATTCAAGATCTGTACTGATTGTTCAATTGATTCTATTCGATCGATTCTCCACAAAAGAATCTAAACAAAAGTTTATGCGATTTCAAGTTTTTCCCATAATGAGATTTACGAAAAAATGTCCTCGCTTTAACGTATCAAGTAGGTAGTTGCCTCTCTAGTTCACAAATTCACCTAAGATCTTGTACGCAGCATGTGGCAGAAAGCGCGGATTCAAGAACAGGAGAATTCGAAGTACATTCGCACAGTAGCACGCTTGACTCACGTTTCGAGGAATGTCTTTCCTTTGTCTCTGTCAGTATATACCTTTTCGTCGAAAGAAAGTCTCGAGTAGTGACATAGCGAAACTGGTCCACGTGGTTTGACTAAACGAGCACTTTTCACATCCACACTCGTTCAACCTCGAACGTACAGCATTGCGTTGTCGAATGACACGCACTGACCGAACCCGTGTTGTTTCATCCTTGACTATGCTTCAGACAATATAATCGCCCCTCCACCACTCCTTCCTTTTTGTTCGTGCCACTTAATTTTTTGCTAACCCATATAAATATTAGGTCGTCGGAAGACCACTGATCCCTGGTAAACACGCTGATGTTTAATTTTTCTGATACTTTTGTACATTCTAAAAGTTCAATAGATGGAAAGCTTATCATGTTTCAATATTTTCAGTGCTGAAGTAATTTCCCAAATTAGAAAAAGAAATTTTCTTAGGGATAGTCTCGATACTTATTATAATTTATTTATCTCTATTCTCTACTTTATTTACTTTTTCATTGCTATTTGTTTACAGTAATTTTTTGAAATGTTTTTTATAATACTAACGTTTAACTATCTTAGTTCACCGACAATAAGAGACAAAAAGTCTTCGTATTTTGAAGTAATAGAGGGTCTTTTTGAGTATACGTAAATGAGTCATCGTTAACTAAATACGTTACATAGTAATTATTCGCATTCCTCCAAATTGCTCGACTCATAAAATTACTTCTAATGAGTAATTAAATGATACGAATGGTATTAAATGTAGTATCGAAAATTTAAATTATGTATTACTTTCAATTTATACTCTTTAATTTATGTACACATTTTGATTCATGCGTGAATATTCAAATCACTTGACGCGTTACTTTTACATCTAAACGATATGATTGTGAGATGCTATTTAAATTTCAATTTACTTGTGCTATCTATATGAACACTATTACTCTTACAATACATTAAAACGTAACATTGACATTGACGATAATATATTCACGACCTCTATGTTATCCTCTAGTTACACAAATGATATAACATCATTTTACTAACAATATTAGTTCTCTAATTAACAGTAAAATGTATATGAAAGAATATTTATAAAATATAGGAAAAAAATAAATTAATTATCCGTAAAATGTTCATGGAAATAAACAAATAAAGATAAGATGTATGAATATCAGAAATTGTTCATACATTTATATATATTTTACTAATGTCATAATTGTTATTATTTTTAAATTCAATATTTCATTATTGATTAAATCTTTGTTAATGATGGTAATAGATGGGAAGATAATCGAAAAAGTTGTAAAATACACTACCTGTTTGATCTTGTTTACACTCGATATAAAGAGTTTTTTATTTGATCACCGTGTACTTCATTATCGTTAGAGAAAATAATTGAAATATCTATTTTTTATTTACCTATAAATTTATAAACATTTATTTATCAATCTTTTGCTATAATCACTTGATACATTTATTTATATTTTTTAATTTTCCTTTTTCTACACTAAATTAGTTATTAAAGCATTTTAAATGATAAAATGACAATACATTTTGTTTAAAAAGTGGCTTTGAATTTTTATTAAAATGAAAAAACTCCAATTTTTAACTGCACGAGTAAATATGAAACTCTGTAAACGGGTTAAAGGCTTAAGTCAACTACGTTAGAAAGAACACATAATACAAATGCTAAGTATATAAATAGCTTCCTTAAATGTCGAGCTAAATTAGAAGTGTAATATAATATTTAAACATTATGCAAATTAAATTGCCATTCATAAATTGTAGACATTCATTTATAATAACTTTATGAAAATCGAATAAAATATTAAATTATTGCATTGTTTAATAAAGATGTGGTTCAATCCTAATACATAAAATAGTTTATATGTAAAATAAAATAAGAAAGTGTCAGATATGATTTAATTCGTGAATATTTGTTGAAAAAGAAAAAAGAAACAAGAAATAGTAAAATTTTTTATAATCGGCAGACATTTTCCTTATATTTTGTTAAACATTTGCAACTAAGAAACTCCGCTTATTATATGATTTGATTCGAAAATTGAATCGCACGTGACAGTTTAACCCGATTAAGGTCATACATTGCCCTCGCATAATTTGCTACATTACACTCACGTTTACCTCTAACCGGTACAATCATAATTTTATTCTATACGTATCATTATAAAAATCTGTTACACAATATGAATTATAAATGCTACTTTTACCTGGAAGACTGTTCGATTTACAAGACATTATGTATAGCTCACGTGTAATGATAAAGTATATCGTATAATTTGAATGGTGTTAATTAAAACATTCGAGAGGAAAGTTTAATGTAAAATTACAATGTATTTAATACTTATTTTTTCACTGTATTGTCGTATAATTTTCCTATATAATTGTTTACTTTTTATTTGTTTCAGGATGTATATATTCGGTTTAATCCACGAAGCAATATTTTTGGAATTGATGATATTCTAAATTGAAAAATAATTCATTTACTATTCGCACTAGAATGGTTTCAATTCTGAATGTTTACAATTTTTTAATTTGAAATCAACTTATGATTTTATTAATATTGTATGATGCATTGAATTGTTTTAAAATGAGAAGAGTAACATACTAGATCATACTTTTAATGGTAAATAACTGAGAACATAAATAAATAAATACCTTCATCTGTATAATTCATGCAATTTGTAATCAACATTGTTTATAGGTATTCTGCATGAAGGTTTTACATAACAATTATGTATCTCTATTAGTTTGCACGATGTAATAAATAGGGTCATGTTGATACCTTGATGAAAATACAAATTTCGTTATTGATTAAATTCATATCGCTCATCTTGTGTCTGTGATTGTGACTGTAGACCATAGGCAAGTTGGAAAAATAGGAAGTATTATCTTTTTCTTATAATTACAATAATAATTATATAAATGAAGTTTATTAAAGAGTAATAAAGAATGAGCAATTGCATTCGATTAATTAATACGCGCTTATTTACATTTCTGCCTACAGCTTTCTTCCCTCCAAAAGTAGATGTCAATAATTGAATGCATGTCGATACACAAATACAGATAGTAACGTCACATTTGAAATTATAGAACGAAAACAAAAATACAACGAAGGAAAAGAAGTATAATTAATTGCCGATGAACGGCTCAATAAATGAAAACATACGGTTCAACGAATTATGGTTTTGCTCGTGGTAACTGTCATAATGTGCTGCTGTAGGTTTGCTCGACTCACTTGGATGTGTTTTGTTTAAGTGTCAACAGGAAGGAATCGAAATGTCTCTTCCTACCTTTGTATCGGTTCTGCACATCCATCATGGTTGACGATGGTAGCGATTACGAAAAGACCACGGAAATTCTTGTGTCTGAAGTCAATGGATCGCATTTGCCACAGCATACATGATAGTCGATAAACGCAGACCGTTGATACTGGCAAATGCGCCGTAGCACCAAGCCCGTACCTCTAGCTCGAGTATACGTATATATACATACACTTCATGCTATACATACATATGTATAGATATATGTGCACACGCGCACACATATATATATATATAATAAACCGTATTCTATAGTGTACAATGCAGTCTATATATAGTGTCGTGCGTTCACGCATACGCATTAGGTTAGAACTATATATTTCCTTCTTTTTCATTAAAAATCGAGTAAGATAGACGTGATAAAAAGAAAAAGCTGATTAAAGTGTGAAATTTTCATTCATTGTATCCTCTGGTATTCGTGTAATTTTTCTTTTACGTTTTATATAATTTTTGAATAATTCTTAACGAATTCAACATATCTAATCTTGGTATTTGTTGATCTGCATTTATATAAAAATCATGCTTATAATTTGAAACAACTACTACAAAAAATAACTAGTTTTATTATATATATTCTGCAGGTTGTAGAGTGTCTCCTGTCACATATGAATCAGCTGTTATCACCTGTTGTGTCACGATGTATGTATATTGAAACGTCCAGGGTAGGCCACAATGGGATTATTTTCTATACTTCTGAAGGATTATCGAGCAGATAATTCTTTATTTGTAAAATACAATAATCCAATTATTATAAATTGACTGTTGATATGTAAGATTAAAGAAACGAATAACCAATGTAAGGATGAAATTTGATTATTCTTAGTTGAATAATAAAAAATTAAACTGTATTTAAAATACAATTTTAATTAATCATTTATCATATACTATTTTGCATTAAATATATTTACAAATGTATTAAAAAATTATATATTGAATCTTAACCAAAAAATAATTGTTAATACTAACAGTTTCTATTTACTTTCAAACTTTTATAATTTTAATATCTGCGTGAAATTATATTTACGTGAAATTATATTATTTAACAAATGTAAAAGGTAAACATAAATCAAATTTTTAATTTTCAACAAAAAAATATAAAGTTTGATCATTAAGTTTGTAATGATTTCCACAATATGTATATTTTAACTGGAAATATTTATTTTTACATATTTCATTAATACTGGAATGAAAATTTTAATGAACAGAGAAAAATTTAGAAAATTATTTAATGTTGAATTGTACATATTTTAAATCTTTGTTGTGAAACTTGATAGTAATACAAATTTCCGTAATGTGGCAGCACATATGCGTTTAGAATGTCCAACTGCTTCCGGCTGTAAGGGGAGTAATGTAGACTTTACATTTTGAAGTATAGGATTACAATTTGCACGGTATTTTTATGTAATTATTAGTAAAATCATTGTAAATATTGTACAGTTAATTAAATATGGACATGGATGTATTCAGTTTTAATTACATAGAGATGTGAGAGGTAAAAATACTTCAAAAACGAATGGTATCCACAAATAGTAACGTGTTTCCATTTTGACAATTTCAGTAATATAAATAAAGGTAAATATAATTTCAAACGTATCTTGTTTGTCTTATAGAATTTATAGGACGTATATAAAATTTATAGAAAATAAATATTTATTATTTCATTATATATTTTAAGTAATTTATATAATTTTGTTTGTTATTTATCATATTGCTATATTATTTTATGATTTACATAAGGTACATTTCCCTTTTTTCTAAAAACATTTTGAGGTTAATTTCTTTATTCATCCATTCGTTAGATAGACATATGTGTCATGTTATTCTAACCCCAGTTGTTTAATATCTTGAATATGGATTTCCCTTTACTTCGTTATGATGTATATTAAACAGATATATAATTAATATATATTTATTTTCTAAATTTTTTATAATTTTTTTATGCAGAATATGTGTTTGAAATTACATGAAAACAGCTATATAAAACATACAACTAACAGAAATTTTAATTTTATATTAAATATAAATTCCTTATTGTTATATCAAAAATTAATAACTATGCATTAATGAAAACAGTTTGTATGAAATAATTACAATTATAGTATTTTTCTTATTTAATGTTTATATAAGGTGTCATTGGGAAGATTCTTATTTAAATGTTGTGTTGTAAGCATTAAACATGCCACAAGGTAACCCATGTGTATTCTGACATTCAATATCTATACATATAGATAATACAATTAGTTTACCCCAGTCGAGCTTTTATCCAATTAGTATATGAAAATGAGAGCAGTGGGTGACATACCATTTGATCACTTTATGCAAACTTTCACTGCCATTGATTTTATAATTTCTTACTTACAAGAGTTTAGTCTACCTTGCATAAATTATAATGAGATGGTTCTTGTTGTTGTTAATTCTACAGTTTATAATGTGGGGTGCATCGGAAGAACCACCAGGAAAAGAGAAAGAGATAGAAGAGGAGACACCTGAATCTATGATACATGCAAAAGAGAAGTGTGAACAAAACAAAAATCAATTGGAATCTCTGAAAGAAATTATGTTGAAAAATAAGCAAAGTTTAAAGAAGAAAGAAGAAGAGGTTCAGGTAGTAAATATTAATTCATGAAATTTAATACAAAAATTTAATGATTTCACTGACAGTATTTCAATTAAAATTTAGGAATATGCAAGGAGGCTTTCCAAAATTAAATCTAGAGCTAAATTATCACGCCAAAGTAGAGATGGAAATTTTCCATGTAAAGATGTAACACATACATCTGAGGTAACTTCAGCAGGCATCCCTGAAGAAACTATTGATGATATTAGTCAAGCAAAAACTGCAAAAGCAAAGTCAACTTTACTCCAAAAGAAGTTAGCAGAGAATAGGAAGGCTTTTGAGCAACGTAATAAAGAAATAAGTGAAACTAAACGAGCAGTTGAAGAAAAAGTAGAAGCTATTAGGCAACAATTAGAAGAAAAAGATATGGTAGCAATGGGTCATCAAAAGGATCTGTTGTCTGTTACACCTATTAAGCCAATCATGATTACTTCTGATGTTAGTAATGAACTTTGAAAATTTTTATTGATAAATATTTCTATCATATTATTGGTAATTGTATCTAATGTTTTAATTATAGGTCATGACACCAGTACAAATTGAAAGTATTAAAGAAAAAGAAAATAAAATTACAGAACTTAGTAATAAAATTTTGGAGCTTGAAGCTACAGTTATGGATCTTCAGGAAAACTTAAAAGAAAAAGATTCTGTTATTGAATCTAAAACAAAAGCAGTTACACTTATGTCTGCTGACTTGTCGAAAAAAGGTAAAACAACGTTGGATACTCTCGAGGATACGAAAGACGAAATGCGAACGATGCAAGAACACTTTGTACTTCTAGAAACATCATTAAAAAATAAGAATGAAAATCTCTTAATGCAACTACAAGAAAGAGATAATAAAGTGGCAGCTCTCGAAGAATCAATTGATCGGTAATTTTATAAGCTGATTAAATATTTAATTTAAATGGTCCTGGTAGTTGATTAAAATATATTTACTTTTTAATTTATTTTTTTGTTTTAGATTTAAAACACAGATTGACGAGCAAAAATTATCTGAATCAGCAAGTGCTGATTTCTCTCGTTCTACGATGGACACTTTGATAGAAACCAAAGAAGCCATGAAATCAATGCAAGAAAATTTTGTACTTATAGAATCTTCACTAAAAACGAAAAACGAAAATTTGCTACAACAGTTACAAGATTATGAGTTAAAATTAGCAGAAGCTAATGAACGAGTATTCAAACTGGAGTCTGGTATTGGAATAGTCAAAGATCCATCTGTTGATTATTTACAGTTCAATTTGGAAAAATTGGAACATAGCAATAAACAGTTACAAGATGAAAAGTATGAGTTACAAAAAAGTGTTGCAGAATTGCAAGATAAAATTGTAAATATATCTATGCATGGTAATGGTGCATTAATCGAAAAAGATAATAGAATAGTTGAACTTGAGAATTTAGTAGAAGAGCTAAAACAATCTAATAAACTTCTCGAAGAAGAATCTAAAGCAGAATTGCAAAAGCAAGTAGTGGATTTAACATTAAAAAATGAAGAATATTCAAATAAGATAACTGATCTTGAAAACTTGGTACATAAACTTGAAGAACAAAAGAATGAAATTGCAGCAAAGTTGTCAGAGGAGGGTGCTGTTACAGAAGATGAAAAAGTGGTGAAGCTTACTAAGGAATTAGAAGAATTAAATAAGGGCATGATCAAAATTAAAGCACAACATAAGAGTAAAGTAAAAAGTTTGCAGAAACAGTTGGAGAACTTCAAAAAGGCAAGATATATTTCTGCTGTTAAAATTTATAAAATGAAAAATTCATTGATAATTTAAAATTTGTTCAATATTTGAATATATCAATTGTTTAGAAATATAAGTAATTATTTCTCTATTTTAATTTCTAAATTAATCGATTATTTAAGAGTAATAAGTAAATAAGTAAAATAAGAGTAATAAGTAATTATTACTTCATAATTATAATGAAATATATTTGTATATAATTTTATAATTTAGGTGTCTGATGCAAATGCGGAACTTGTCAAATTGGGGAATCGAGTGGCATTATTAGAGGAGGAGAAAGGTAACCTTCAGCTGAGTCTGGTAGACTTTGACGAGCTTAAAGGTAGGAACCAGGACAGAAATTCTGTCATTGCTGTTTCTATTGTTCTAGTTTCGTTATCAATTGTATGTGCAATGCATTGTCCATTTATATTATTCTCGAATTGATTATCCACAGTCTTGTTTTCCTTGCTGTGGCAAAATTTTAGGTCTATTTACATATATATGTATTTAATAATACATATTAGAAATTTTTATTGGACTTTTTGATAAGTGATGTTATATGAAATAGTTGTATAGATAAAACTATTAATAATTATTTTTAATTCTTGCCGCTTTCTCTATAAGAGAAATATTGATACTGAGATAATTATAATTATGCTAATTTCTGGTGATGGAATTCTTTCACTTGATTAGTTAGATATTCATATTGTACGTAAATTGTATAAATTGTATAAATATTTATTCAAAATACTAATCAATTATATTATATAAAAAATTGTTTACCATTTTAATATAACATGGTACCTACTTTACTTGTCAAAGTTTGCTACATTCTGATTCATAGAACTAGATTTATTTGTTAGCAGTTACTTATATTTTATATTATTTTTACACAATTTTCGGCATAGTTGACTTACTTGCATGAACAATTAAAAAACAATTCTGCTACTTTCTAAAAATTATTTGCTGTACATTATATAATCTATATGTTACTAAAATATGATTGTTTGATTGTACAAAATGATTGTCAGATATGATTCAAAGTATAATTAACATTTGAATATATATTAAGAAATAAATAAACAATAATTAAATTAATGAACAAAACAATTTATATTTGCTTTAAATTTGGGAATTTGCTTGCTGAATTTGTGATTTTAAAGATATTAATCATGCTTAATGCAAAATAAACTAATCCTTAAACAGTAGTTAATATCTTTAATTGTAAATTATTAATTTAAGCTTATTAAACATGGATTTATTTGTAACATTTAAGTTGCTTGCTTTTGCATTTACTATCAATTAATATCAAATATACATACATCATTGGCATGTTGTACAATTTGCATAGCCTCAGCAGGAGATTGGCAAGAACGTGTTGTTGATCTAGAAAGTAAAGTTTCTGCTCAAACAAAAGAAATTGAAATGCAAATTGAAGCCATTGCCACTCTAGAGAATCAAAAATTGGATCTTATGCAAGGTAATCTATGTACTGTTTTTTTTTTTTTTGTGTTAATCCGTATATGAAATTAATATTGAGTACCAAACTAGAAAAGAAATTTAAAGAATAAAAATAGTTCAGTTAATTATTTCGCAACGAGTATTTGATTTTCATTCCAGAGCTTCATATGGCTAAACAAGAGATCTCGTCTCTAGAAGCGGAAAATGCAGAATCCGAGAATCTTAGAGTAACTGCAGAAATGAAAGTGGTCGATCTTGAAGAGCAATTAGAAGCTATGCATAAAGTGCAAAATGAAAATAAATTAGAATCTTTACCAGAAGTTAATCACGCAGAACTGATTAAACAAGTGGAAACTTTAATACAAGAAAATGCAGAGTTATATAATAGAATATCAAAACTCGAAGAAAAAGGAACATCTGATACTGGATCTACGGAATCGTTTGAAGCTATACAGGAATTAGATAAAACCGATTTATTGAAAAAGATTGAAGATTTGACACAGAAAAATAACGAATTGACTCTTAAATTAAATAAACTTCAGGAAAAACAAAATTTCGATGCTGAATCTATGGAATTGGTAAATGATACTGATAAAAATGAATTATTGAAGAAAATTGATCGATTAACACAAGAAAATACAGATTTAACAACGAAATTGACTAGAATGGAAGAGAAAGGATCTTCTGATACAGGTTCAACCGAGTCTTTTGAACGGATTCCAGAGAACAATGAGAACATGACGAAAATTGAGCTTCTGACCCAAGAAAATAATGAACTTGTAATTAAACTTACAAAACTTGAGGAGAAATTAGAATATATAGAATCTAAATCAGATGTTGACTTAAAATTGAAAATTGATACTTTATTACAAGAAAATGATAATCAATCTGTGGAATTATCGAAACTTAGAATTCAAGTAGTGGATCTCATTGAAGAGAATAATAAACTGCAGGAAGAGATTAAAATATTGTCTGTAAATAATACCAATGTAACTGTTATGTTTACTGAGTCTGAAGATCACGGTTCTGAAATTGAAACTAAACAATCTGAAATTTCTGAAATGTCAAAGAGGGAAGTTGATTTAAAAATACAAATCGACATGTTAATTGAAGAGAAAACTCTTTTACAAAAGGAAATAAAAGATTTGCATAATTCAATGAAACAGTGGCATGAAACGACTCAGGATCTCCAAATCAATGATTTGAGGGGCAAAATAGAAGAATTGTTAAAAGAAAACGAGGATGTAGCTACAAAGGTATCGGAACTTGAAACCTACAATCAGAAGTTAAAGGAAAATTTATCTCAAATGGAACAGGAAAAAGAAAATTTACATTTAAAAATTAATCAAATGTTGAAGGATGATTCTGACAATGAGAAATTAGAACTTATTGAAAAATTAGAAAAACTGAATCAAGAAAAACAGAAAGCTGCCCAGGAAAAAGAGAAACTTAATGAACAAATTAGCACTTTTTTACAAAAATCTAATCAAGAATTACTTGATATGCCATTATCAGATGAATCTCTGCCTCAGAAAACCGAGTCGATGATCGTTGCTTCCTTGGAACAAGAGATAGAAAAGTGCAAAACTTTGATTGCAGAACAAACAGGTCTAATCGAAGAAATGAAAATAAAGCTTGCAAACAAGGAAGAAGAGTTAGAAGAAAAGGGTAAACAGATTGTGGAATATGAAAAGTCTGGAAAGAAAGCAGAGAGTTTGGAAAATGAATTGAAAGAAATGTTCAGTACTATAGAAGAATGGAAACACAAGTGCAATGAAATGGAAGAAAAAATGGAGAAACTGGAAATGGGAAAAGCTTCTATTGAAGAAGGATTCAAAATGTTACAAAATGAAAATAAAATCTTATTAGAAGAAAAGAAAGAGAAAGATGCAGAAGCTATCTCACTGAAACAACAGTTGCAGGACATAACGACGACATTTGAATTAAAGCTTGAAAAGCAGCTTACAGCTGCCTCTGAAAAGGATAATGAAATTGCCAGTCTGAAAGAAATCACCATTGAAAAAGAACAAGAATTGCAAGCCAAATATATAGAACTCCAAAATAAAATGATTACAATAGATAGTTTGCAGGATGAATTGAACAATTGTAAAATATTAGTCAAAGAAAAAGATTCTGCATTGACATCGATATCTAATGAGGTTGCAAATCTTAATAATTTAGTGAAGATTAAAGAAGAAGAAATACATTCCTTGAAAAAAGATATCTTTGAACTGAATGACAAATTAAAAGACTCAATATCATTGAAAGATTATAATGACTTGCTAGAACAATTGAAAGATAAAAATATGATTCTTGATGAATTAGAGTGTAGGATCAATGCAACCACGAAAGAAAATAACAATCTGTCGGAAAAAATAAAAAATCTCTCTCAGCAAAATAGCGATCTTCAAAACCAACTAGCTGAGAAACAACGGGAATTTATTGATTTGATAAAAACGAAAGATCATTTAGAAGCACAAATTGTAGAATCTAAAACTGAAAAAGGTGAAGCTGAAAGGCAAGTTTGGGAATTGCAAAACATTATAGATAATGATGCAAAATTTGTTAATGATTTGCAAACAGAATTAAGAAGTACTCATAAACAAGTAGACCAATTGAAAGCGAAACATGCCGAAGACATGCAGCTACAACATCAGAAATTTGAGAACATAATTGAAGAATTAAATGCCAAGGTGCAAGAATGCGAAAGGTTAAAAGATGAGTTGGAAGAGAAGGAGAGACAGGTTCATCATAATATAACTGAAGAAGCTAGAGTTACTTTAGAAGCGAAAGTCGCCTTGGAAGCAAAAGTTGCTGATTTGGAGCAAAAATTGAAGAATTCTGAAGATAAGATACAAATGCAACTAGAAAAAATGAAGAAAATCGCGGCGAATTTGAAAAAGAAGACGGTTATGTGTCAGGAGCTTGAGACTAGAGTTATCGAACTTGAAGAAAAATGGACAACTGAAAAGGATGAAAAAGAAGCTAAAAACACGCAAATTCAGGATGTACAAATCGCTATGTGTGAAAAAGATAACAGAATAGCCGATCTGGAAGAAAAATTAGTGCAAGTTAAAAACGAATTTGTTGAATCTTGCAAGAATATGGAGAAATTGGCAAATGATTTGACTACTTTGAAAGGGAAAATGTCTGTATTTATGGAACAAATTGCGGAAACAGAGGAGAAAATTGCAAAATTACATGCAGTTATTGAAACTTCTACTGCAAAACTTGAAGCAGAGAAAGAGAGCAAACAGAATATAATTTCGGAGTATGAATCTTATAAACAACAGGTTATTCAAGAAAATGAAAGTAAGCAATTAGAGCTGGAGGAGATGAAGGAGAAAGCTAGAGAGCTTAGTGTACGAATGCAAGTTATGGAGGCAGAGTATGTTGAGCAGCTTGCATTAATTAATAATCTTAAAGCTGAAAATGGCCTATTATTGTCAAAACAGGCGTATATCAACGAAAAAATGGAGACTATTGAGAAAGAGTCGGAAGAACGAAGATTGTTGATTGAACAAATGGAGAAAGCAGTTGTTAATACTTCTACAGTAACTACGCAAACCTCAGAAGATGAAGTCACTGAGGATGATACGAAAACGACGGGAGTACAACACTGCAGCCTATGCGAACAGTGCCAGACTTTAGTGGAGGCATTAGAAGCGAAATTACAAGAACGAGAAGCTGAAATCGAAAATCTGGATAACGAACTGGCTAATTCGATTGGTAACTTTGTTGAGATGAGAGAATCACTTAGATTCAATGATTTGATGAACCAAACCAGCATGAGGAACAGATCATTGGAGGATTCATACAACGATCTTTTGCTCCAGCATAATTCATTAGTATCGAATCATGAGGAGGTAAAAGCAAAATTGGAAGAAGCCTCAAAGGAAAATAAGGAATTAATAGGAAAGCTTGAGGAATTACAATCAACAAATGCCACTTTGGATGAAAAGGTAGTTACAATGGAACAAGCACTAAAAGATAACAAACTCGACATAGAAAGATTGCAAAGCGTTGATTTATCAAACGCTGATTTAACTAAGAAGTGCAAAGAACGCGAAGCAGAATTACTCAACATGCAACGGGAAATGCAAGTTGTTCAAGAACGTACCAGTCAACTAGAAGAACAATTAAACTCTCAAACAGATTCTCTTAAACTCATGGAGGCAGAGAGAGTAGAGATAGAAAAGTTATTGCAGGATACTAAATACAGTTTGGAACAAGAAATCGTGACTCTTAAAATCGATAAAGAATCTAGTGAAAGGAAAATAAATGATTTAAAAACAGAGTTAGAAGTGTACAAAAATCAGAATACGGAGTCTACGGAAAAATCAACAGTAGTAAAACAAGAGGCATCTGTTTCTGCTAGTGATCTTCAAGATAATGCTCCGCAGTTATTCGACGCTTCCAAATTCTTTGGTATGCCATCTGGTTCCGATTCTGATCTTCGGGCTGATAAAGAGATGAAAAGGTTGCAAACCTTATTAGACGAAAAAGAGGTATGGTGTTCTAATTTGACTCAAGAGATCAATCACCTGCAAAAACTAATGACTGAAGAGAGAGTCCAAATGTCCCAGAATTACAATCAACGCGTTGAAGAATTAGAAGTCTCGCAAAAGCAACTGCGTGATGTACAAGCAAATTTAGAAAAACTAGAACAATCATTGATTGAAAAAGAAAAGCATATTGATTCATTGAATATGCAGTTACACGCTCTTAACACGCAATTAATAGAACAGCAAAATGATGCGGACAACAAATTTAAGGAATCACTTTTAACTAAAGACAATCAAGTGGAGGAACTAAATATGAGCTTGGTTTCCATGAAAGAAGCATTAAACAAAACGATTGAAGAACGAGACCATCAAAACATCGTTTTGGAGTCGTACAAATTACAGATAAACAATTTGGAAGCGGAAGTAAGAAGTTCGACTGATTTCGAAATGACACAAGACCTGGAAAATCGTGTTTCAGTACTTACCAAGGAGAGGGACTTGCTACAGCTGCAGGTGAACGATTTAACCAGATCCATGGAGGACTTGAGGGATTCCATGAACGTTGGTCGAAATTTGCAGGTGGAAATCGAGAAAATTGCTCGTGAGAGGGACCAAGCTAAAGAACAGGTTGCAAATCTCACTCGAGCTTTAGAAGATGCTTATAAACAGTCTGAAATATCCACTACGGATACCTCGACGAAAGAATCTACTCCATTAGAGGAGATTACGGTTACACAGCAGCAGGAACCGGAAACTACAAAAGCTACTACACAGGAAATTCAGCAAGAAACTTCTTTGGATGTTGGACGTACGTGGGATACAGAGTCGACGCAGAAACTTAATGTCGACGACGAAACGTGGGGGTGGAATGCGGAAGATGCTCAGTTGGCTAGTGAACATCTCACCACTACGTTGATTCCTAGCGCGGAAATACAGTTACGTGTCAAAATAAATGATCTTCAAGATCAGGTCAAAGATCTAGAGAAAGAGAAGGAAAAGATACTAGAAGAAAACAAGACTGCTCAATTGAGGAATGCGAAGATGATAAAGAAGTTGAAGGAATACAAGGTACACATAGAGAGTCTTCAGCAACAATTAAAAATACAGAAGTCAGCAAGTGACTTTTACGAATTGGATTCCGCGATAGAAGAAGAACTGAAATCACAGATAACTAAATTGGAGAAATCTTTGAGCGAAGTAAAAGAGGAACAGAAAAATACAGTTAACGAGAAAGAGGCTCTGGTGAAACGTTTAGATGTTGTAGTCTCTGCAAACGATAGGTATATGGAAATGAAGGAAAGACAAGATATGGATATGGAAGTGTTGCGTATTCGAAACAAGGAATTATCAGATAAAGTCGAAACTCTTGAGAAACGATTACAGGGAGTTACAGTCGGTTCGGAGGAAACCGACGTTTCACAGGACGTTGATGTTGCTTCGAGCAAAGAAGCCAAACCAGCAGCACTGGAACGTTCTCGGGAAAAGCGATCCGTCAAGGAAACGGACTATAAGGCTTTGTGTAAAAAATACAAGGATGAGATGGACGATCTTAAAGATGAGATGGAAGCGCTTGCAACTGAAAATGAACAGCTTCAACGCTTTTTGGAGGAGCAAAAGATTAAATTATCTGCTTTAGAATCGAAACGAACTGTAGAGGAAAATGAATCTTTAGTAATCGTGGACGATTTAAATAAAAGAATTTCGGAATTGCAGAGCATGTTGAGTAAATCTAGGGAGGAGTATGATTTGTTGAGGAAACAGTACGAACAGAGTTTAATGGATGCTAATGATCAAGTTACAGCCATGAGACAGAACAACGATATCTTGAAGGAGGAGGCGTTTGAGAAGATCAGTAAGTTGGAAATTCAAATAACCGAATTGCGTCAACAAGTCGAGATCTCGGAGACGAATGCCATGGAGCTACATAAAACTTTGCAAAACACTTTGCAAGAAAAGGTAGGCCTAGAAGAAAAATTGTCCGCTTTAATGGTATCTTCGGAAAAGCAGATATCTTCTATGAATGCGTCTATGGTGGAGGTGACCGATCTCTTGAATATCAGGATACAAGAAGTGGCTGATTTGAAGCAAGAACTTCAAAGACAGTACGTGGACCGTGAAAAAGCACAGACAAAGTTGCAGGACACTATACAGGAATTGAATCAAGAGCTCATTAAAAAGAAGCAACAACTGGAGACACTGAATAAATCTTTTACTGAGAAAGAAAATGAATTTATTCAGCAACAGAGTATGGAAGCTGTTAGTGCCCTCGTAAGTCAAGCTACACAAGAATTAGTACAAAAACATGTGATAGAAATTGAAGAAAAGGAGAAACAAGTACGAAATCTTAATGAAAAATTATCATCGTTAGAAGCAGTTGTGGCCGAGTATTCACTCGAGAAGCAGAATAATTTCCTACAGCTTGATTCTAAACGACAGGAGCTGGAACATTTGAAGCAAAATTTAGTGGAGAAGGAATCGAGTTTAGAATCTGTCCAGAAGAATTTAACGTCGGTAAAAGAACAGTTGACTGGGAAACAATTGGAATTATCTGAAAACGAGGAAAGAATTCAGAAGCTGGTATCAGAGAATCAAATGTATATGGAAAGTATTAACAAACTGCACGAACGTTTGAATCAATTCGAAGAAATGTCGATCAATGTAAATGAATACGTGTTACGTATTCAAAGTTTAATGCAAGAAGTCCAAAACTTGAACTCTAGTTTAGCAGAGAAGGACTCAATTTTGCAACAGTATGCTGAACAATCTACAGAGTACAGGACAATCATAGAAAATAATAAAATTGAAATTGGCGAACTTCGTATGGAAATGCAAAACATAGAAGATTTGAAGAATGAACTATTAGGAAAAACCGAGCAAATAGATAATTTAAATATGGAATTGGAAGCGACTCGTAGGACTTTGGAAGAAACCAGATACGGTTTGAATGAAAAGATATCTTTGTTAGAACAGAATAATCGGATACTGAACGAAAAACAAATGGAAGTGAATAGATTATCAAGTATACAACAAAATCAAGCTCAACAGAGTTCTTCTAATATTATAGATGGTTTACCTGTTTTTAGAATGGGCGATGATGGACAAAATTTACAATATACGATAAATACCTTGCAGGCTGAACTGAGAAAGAAGCACGAAGAGATCGAGCATTTAAAATATATCCTAAATGAGAACACATATCCCAATATAATTCAAGAAATGCAACAAAGGATCGATTGCCTGTACAATGAAAAGGCTGAGCTGCAATCTTCTTTAGAGCTAACTAGTAAAACAGTCGAAGAAAAGGAGAAGAAGATCAATTCTCTAACGCAGCAAATGGAAACACAAGACCAACAACACGTGTCTAAAGAAGAAGCGATTCTCTTTTCCAGAGATCGAAGATCGATTCAAGATCAAGAGCTACTTGTTAGGCTGCAGAATGAGTTACATGCCAAGGAACAGGAAATTAGCGAACTTAAATATATTATAGCAGAGAAGGACTCCCAATTGTCTCTCCAAGCCAGCATGGAGCCTCAGTCAGACGAGTTCGAGTTACGCGAAATGGTGCAAAGATTGACTACTGAATTATACGGTAAGGAACAGGAAATACAACATTTGAAATCAACAATTGTCGAATTGCAGAAAGAAGTTTCTCGTTTGCAAGAGATTGAGAGACTTTCGGAGGAAACTAAAGATGCCATTGAGAAACTTAACATGGAGAAGGAACAGGTTCGCGTAGAGGCGCAGGAATTCTTGGAAAGACAGCTGAATGAGAAAGAAAAGGAAATTGGTGAGATAAAACAGAGGTTAGCGATGGAGAATCAAAATATCCTGGAGGAGTTACAGCTAAGAGACAAGGATATCGAGAATTTGAAGAAGAAGCTGAGCGAGTTCTCTGTGATGGAGCAAACGATGAAAGACGAGTTGAACCAAAAGGACAAGGAATTGGAAAGAGTAAACTCCGACTTGGCGGAAAAGGAAAGAAGTTTGGCCGAATTGAGCATCACCAAAGACACGGAGCTTCATAACTTGAAAATTCAAATTCACGAGAAGGAAGCACGCATCGAGGAAGTTCTAGCATTATGCGACGAAGAAGGGAAACGAGTAAGCGAACTGAAAAACACCTTAGTGGCCAGAGAAACTGAAATCAATTCCTTGAAGTCTCTCCTCGAGGACAAAGTGAAAGAATATCAATTAATTCAAACTGCGCTAAAGAAGGATGTTCCTATAATCGATACTTCAGCAGTTCGGAGCGTAGAAATTTCTGATGAAGAAAGTAAAACGACGACCTCCCAAGAGCTAGATCTTGCATTGTATATGCTTCATCAAAGAGACGTCAGATGCGAAGAACTGACGCACGAATTAATGCAGTTACTTGAAGAACGCGACACGTTGCAATTACGCCTCTCTAATGCGATTAGAGTAAACGAGGAGCTGAGGAAAATGAGTGGTTCAACGAGCTCTGATCTCAGTTCAAAGAAGGACGTTGCCACTTCCAGTAGTGTAGAACCGATCGTAGAACATCCATCACCGTCCAAGTCCGAGGGACCAGTTGAGATAGCTAAGGAAGCTATTGATGCTCCGATTGGCGAGGACAAGGAAATCCTTGCCTTAAAGTATGTATCTTTTATATCTTTTATCCTAATTAAATTTATATATGATTTAAGACTCACTGACGAAGTGCTTAAAACAAATTGACAATTTTTTTTTTATATATAATTACATTATGGAATTAATATTTTTTTTTTAAATAGCAAGGAAAATAATTATATGTTTTGTCTCTAATGTCCTTTTTTTCCGATAATCTTTCAAATTTTATTTTTATATAAAATAGAATCTTATAATTCAGTGAAAAAGTTTTTTATGTTGTGCTAATTAAAGGATTATGCATTTGTTTAGCTCCTAAATTTGCTTAGCATGTAGCAAGTCCGGAAACAAGCTTTCCAAGTTGAGTCATCCTTTCCTCTGTAGTCCCGTATGATTTGTTCATGTTGTTCGAAGCTCTTTACCAATTAATCCGAGCAGGAGAAATGTATACTTAAATATGAGTTCTTTTCAAGAAACGAACACGCGTTCAGTATTTGGAGTTCCTGCTACCTTCAGAGCATTAAAGATCCAAAGGTTTGGTAAATAAAACTTTCTTTTAGAATTCTTTTCCTGTAGTTACATATAAAACGATCCTTAGATCCGATAACAATGATAATAGCAATAATAATAATAGTAATAACAAAAGATTGTACTTCAACGAACTTCGTTTAATATCTTCACGGATCAACTAGTTGAAAACGTATAAGCCGCTTATAAGAGCTCAAAGTGCTCAAGTGTGAGTTAGTAAACTCGTTTGTGTAGACTTTATCCGTAAAGAAAGAATTAACTCTTCATTTCCCCTGGCAGAGACGTGTTAAGGCGTGTTTATCAGTAGTATAGTAAGCTGCTTATTTCATTGTATAAGCTAGTTTTCCCTTTAGGCTGTCACAGCTGCAAACGGTGAGCCATGCAAAAGACGTGCGACTGAGGGATGAACGAGAATTGAGGCACACGCAGCAAATGTCTTTGCTGGCGCACAAAGATGTTTTAAGTACCTTACCTCCCGAAGCAGCTGCCAAGCTCGTCAATGCAAATTATACACTTTGTATGTATCTTCAAAGAAATTCAACATTTGCAGTTTTCATTTTATTTTCCATAGTTTTAAGTTACAATGCGTAGAACTGTTGTTTGGCTTTGTAAGTAATTTGTTTTTCATCGTATTTTGAGCTCCCTAAGTCTTTATCGTTATGTTAAAGTTGGTGTAGTAAGAAATTTGTCTAGTTAGAAACGTATAAGATTTTTCGAAAATTCGTGTTTTCAACTTTTTGTTTAGAATTTTTATGATATTTCGAATGGTAAATAAAGATTTGTCATTTTTCTGTTTGTAGCTAGGGATGTGCAGAGTCAATCGAGCGTTTTGCTGAATTGGCTGTGGGGAAAAAGGTACATGTTTAATTAATATTATATTTGTATTAATTTTTCGCAATTTCTATCAACGAGGAAGAATAATAAGAGTGTTGTTTTTGATTTTTTGAATAATTTTATTAGAGGAAATGTTTGGATGCATATTATCTTTTCTATACTCAACTTGCATAATAATTTGTTATATTCATTCTTTTGTTACAAGTTATACCTTGATTTCCAGATTGATTTCATATTAGAAAATATTTATAATCGTCGTATAATGTTATTATTATATCGCTTCTTGTAATTTTAATACTCCTGAGACGTTTACCATAAGATAGTTAACACGATGTTCGTATAATTGTAGCACGCCAAAGGTGCTACACATGTGATGGGGTACTAATGATGGTGAAGTGGACAACCTTGCCTTCTGGATACATTCCTGCCAAGTGCCAACTGCCGAGACTATTCCTGTAATTAGACTAGATCGAACGAGATAAGAGCAATTAAGGATATTTCGATTAACTTGTCGACGTTTTGTGAGAGCGACGTGATTGTAAAATGTGATGCACGTATTACTGGAATCCAGGGGTGTAAAGATGTCTGTATTTTTGATGCGACTATTCTAAAGGTTGAAACAGTAACGTGTCATGCTTCTGCAGAGGCTTTTAAAGAAACAAGTCGCTCCTCTTCGGAGCAGAAGAGACTATGAGGAGATGACTCAATTGTATTATAATCGTTGTATAGCTATTCTATTTAGGGAAATTGTAAACGAAACATTGCCTTGGAGAAAAAGTGTATATTTCAGTTATTTTATTAGCTATGAAATTGTTAATAGCCTAAGATGTTTCTCGGGTATCGAGTTGCGATATCTACTGGAAGTATATCTGTTCCAACGATTAATCAGTATAGTTTGGTAAACTATTTTGTTCAATACGCGTTTTATGCGAATTGTTTGTGATTTGTCAGCCGTTTATTAAAACGAATTTATTAAAACGAACCTAGGAAATATGGATCGAATTGAGAATAAGTAATAAAATGTTGGCAAATCACACGATGATTGGTACTCGATATTAATACTAAAAGGTTTTTATCTATTAATGAAAGTGCCGCAATTATTTGTTGCTTTTTAATCGTGATGATTCGAACTTTCTATTTCCACGAAATTTTGTACAAAATGAAGAAAGCGTCGGTGAATAAATAAATTATGAAACTAAAGTATTTATTCATAGATGTGTTTTTATTGTTAGTCGTGGTTGTAATAGATCTTAATCGAATGGATGAATATGCGTGTATATTTAATTCTGTTGTAAGTGTCACAGGTATAATTGTTTACACCAGTCAGTGTGAATATTTTATAGTAGTTAATTAAGGTTGTGGACTATTTACAAATGTTGCGAATTATTCGATGAGTTTATCAGAAAGTACGACAAACTTGCGAAGCAAGCGGTACTTCGAGGTTTAGACTTTGTTTCATCCTATCATTGTTATCTTGTAAACGATATAAGGCTTGTGTATACCGTGTAGATCACATTTTGTATAGGAGAATGTAGAACGAGATAACACGAGACGAATCGTGAAATTTTTATATATGTTTAATTCATTTTGTAAATTTATGAAAGAATCGATGTTGCATTTAATTCATGTATTAGAATAACATAGGTGCACGGGAGAATATTGTCAACATTTTTGTATTATAGAAGTATTATAGCTAGTGTAATAAATTTTTACAGTAATCAGATGAGATTCAATTCTCGTGTATCTCGTTCGAAATCGTCAATTTATTTGTTTGTGTTTAGGCATACCATTTTGTCTCATATTTGGTATAATTCTAGACATAGGAAATGATTCTTCGTTGCCGTTTGTAGTACTGACGTCTTCACGATAATTCTGATATTCAGAATTTTCTAAGTTGCTCGAGTTATTTTTTCCACACTTCAAAGCAAGCAGCGTCATTATTCCGACAACGAAAAGACCAAAAATGATAGACATCAGTGCGATCGCTGGACCGGAATACTGTTGAAATTCTTCAGTATTCAGATAAGCAAGTGCTAACGGATTAGGTTCGTCCCAACTGGTCCAAGTATTATTCCAAAGTGATGGATCCGCTCTGGGGTCTCCGTCCAAATTACTAGGCGGTATCACTGTTAATCTATACTTCATCAGAATTCTTTCTAAGATAGCCAAGATCACTGGTCTTCTGTCAGCAAGATTCACCATTTCGCAAGGATCTTTTTCTATATTGAAGAGACACGGTGCTTTCATAGGGTCGCAAGAAATCTGTAACAAATTTCATTCGTAAAGGCTTACAATGCAGAATGCTTCTAATATTTATAATAGGCTGTGGTATGTTTCTTAGTTAAAGTAAGGAAAAGTATTCATAGAGAATTATATGTAATCTGATTTATAAAAGAAATATTATAATTTTTACTCAAATAACACGGACTCTGTCTTTCTCTTTAACGTTGCATTTTATCTGTGCTTTCTTTCGCAATTCGGAAATGTTTTCGGCGGTGAGTATTTTCTCTTGGAAATTAGTTTTCGGAGGAGTATTGTTTATGTTTCGTGCACTTCTCTTTCTTCTTTCATTTAATTCCATTGCTTGTCTGGCGGTAATTACACCGGAAATGGCGACACCCGTTTTGCTGTACAATATTTTATCGGGGTCGTATCGCGGAGAAATCCCTTCAGATGATTCTCCAGTTGCTCCGACCCAGGCACCACCAGTTTCTGTCTGACCAATAACATATTTAAAATCGCCACGTCTGATAGCGGCATAATTACTAAGATCGTCGATGTTGATCACTACATCGGATCTAAAGCTGATCTTATCCGATACCAAAGTCGGCCAGAGGTCGAATCCATCGATGTTCCCAAGTTGCTTCCCATTCACTCCTAAAGGATACACGAATCTCGATGAAATAATTCCTTTATTTCTAACGTGAAAATTCAATTTTGTAAACATTTAAATCGCAGATCAGAAAAATGTTTTATCGTTTGAAACCTGTGGCAATTGGTATTTTTAATATCATTTTGGTAACCTGTTGCAGACAGGAGTGTTGGAAGCCAATCGGACACGAACATCATTTGATTCGAGACTCTTTTAGACTTTTTAATGAGAGGACTCCAGATAGCTGCAACTCCTCTCGTCCCACCTTCCCATGGACTGTCCTTCATCTGAAAAATTTTCAAAGTTTCAGCTGTTCAAGACTCGAGAACCAATAGCTCACGAAGGATGTATTTACGCCTCGAAGAGGGTAATTGCTGCCTTGATTACTCAGGAAACCCTCTGTCGGTGCACCGTTGTCGCTCATGAAGAGTACTATACTGTTCTCCAACATGCCGCGACTTCGTAGTGCATCCATCACTTCGCCGACGCTTTGATCTAATTTCGACACGACAGCTGCAAGTAGGTAAGTTACAACACCCACATTTGATACAATACATTACGAAAATTATTATTTCAGAATTTATAGGAAGAATATTCAACTCGATAAAAGCATATTAGGAAAGTGTAATTTTGTAGAGTATAAGAAATAGGCTTTCTCAGAAATTTAATTTGATAGAGTTCCAAGTAAATTGATGAAATGTCACGTTATACGGTTGAAATTTAATATAGTAGAGTAATTCGCGAAGTAAAAGGATGATACCTGCTTGGATTCTTCTTTCGGGGTCAAGGATGTATGAAAATTTGGCAATCTCTTCGTCGGGTGCTCGCAATAGTTGATTATTATTTCCTTTATGAGGAGCCAGGTGGGCTAGATATAGAAACATTGGTTCATCAGTGTTGTGTTCGTTAATTAGTCGTACAGCTTCGTTTGTGAATAGATCTGTCGCGTATTTTCCTGCGGTGTCCCATGCCACTGTGAGATTTCGTCTCATGTCGAAGCCTCTGAACTGGCTGAATTGCGGATCCTATGAAAATATAAATTTCGTATAACAAATCGATTTATCCGTACTATTCTCTGACTTTCACAGTTCTCAACATAAACGACAATATAAAATTTGGAGAATCTACTTGACACGAGGGTAGTTTTCGGAGATATTTACTGGTTCTTGCACAATGTGCGTGTAATAATCCTGAAGACCGTTCCAGTACCCAAAATGTGTCTCAAATCCACGATACGTCGGAGTATACTCCTTTCTGAAGTATCCTAAGTGCCATTTTCCCACGGCGTGTGTTCTGTAGCCTATTTCTTTCAAGTACTGCAACGAAGATTGGTTCGAATAGAAGGTATTCGACGAGGATCGTTGACTATTTCGAGTAACTTCGCGTAACTAATCGTAGCAGAACTTTTTACGAAGCAAAAGGTAAAGCAAATTCTGAAAACGTGGTTCGTATGGAAACCTACCTCGGGTAGTAATTTTTCGCTTAGGGGGAGCCCTCGTGGTTCAGCTGCGTAGAGAACAGAATGTTGCATGCCCAGATGTATCGGATTTTTTCCGGTCATTAAAGCGGATCTGCTCGGAGTGCACAAGGCAGGAACGTAATGATTATTCAAAATGATACCATTGTATGCGAGGGCGTCGATGTTAGGCGTGGGGACTTGGTTTGATCCGTGAAAGCTTACGTCGTTCCACCCCTAGTGCATAGTTTTAAATGCGAGTACGTGAGTGCCTTTTAAGTAGTCGATTTACATTTTGTTAGTAGCTCTATTATACTTTTTCTTATAGTACTTCGTCATAATATAATATTCTTCGTATCTCGTACGATTATCCCTCTTATTCGCTGTGTACTGGATTTTTAGTTATTATTGTACATCTCGTTATACTTGTAAAAATTGTTGGTATAGGGTGCTTCTTTACCACGTTAATTAATTGCAATTGGCAAAATAATCGTTTATCGTGCAGTTTCATTATAGTTGATAGAATAATTATTTGTCAAACAAGAAGACATAGTGAAATATCGGAAATCCATATGAATCGTGAGAAAAGCTTAAACACTAGTCGCATATAGTTAAAAATAGATTTAATTACAGCTATAAACAGCGAAATCAGATTAATACGTTTCACACAATGGATGGCTGTTAGATCCTTGTCTGATCGAGTTTCTTACAGAGACTGGTACATCAATCTTAACTTACCATGTCATCGGCAAGAATGACGATGATATGAGGCTTTTGCTTAGCCTGTTGTTGATCACCATACGTATTGACTTCAAGGTTGTCTTCGTCTTTGTATTTCACTGGCGTTGGGAAGTTTGTTTTCGCTTTCGACGTGGACAGGAAAGACGAAAAGAAAATCGCGTTCACGCTTGTCACCATTAACTCAAAGAAGAGCAGCACGATGAAAAGGTGTGCTACCAACGCGACATTCATCTCGAAATTAACTGTAACAGACGAGAAACGTAACGATTACCGTTAAGCCAACTGATATTTCAAAATCAAATTCGATAGCTGGTCCAATCCCGCTTTCTTCTCATTGTACCGAAGAATTCTTCGCCATTTTTGAAACACTAACTTCTCACGCGAATGGCAATCAAGGTTAACAAAAATTAATCCAACTCATGGTAATACCTTTACGGATCCCGTTCAAGATCCGACGACTGATAGCTCTATTCTATACCGTTACGGATGTACCGATGAAACGATTCCAGTCACGTCGAACGCGACCGCGTATTTTGCTAGAGAAGAAGAGGAACAGAACGACCCTTACGTTGATGGAAAAGGGGAAGAACGACCGCGGTGTATCCCATTATTCGCGATAAGTTGTCCATTTTTTCCGTTTACGTTCGCGGAGTATCTTCCCATGGAATAGAAGAGATCAGCTTCGGCCAGGCTGGTCTTTGGCAATGCGAGAACCGACTGGCTAGGAAACTCGAGACCTGTTGGTTTATTACCACTTTAGATTTTCCGTACGGCGAGCGGAGAGGAGGCAAAGGGGAGGATCTGGAGCATAACGAAAGTGGTGTTCTGGGGGAGGAAAATGGAGGAGGAAAAATCCAGACGGCACTACGTACACGTGAAAATTCTGCGTTCCTTTCGAATCGTTATGTGTTTGCTCGCTTCTTTCTCTCCCTCTATGAAACTGCTGCGATGTGCAAATTTGAATCTCGCGGGGTTTAGATTCATCAATCTTTTAGATATATGCACTCGTTGTTGGAATAACGAGTTAGACGACTCGTAATCTTGATGAGATAGATCATTATAGATAACGGGACGGTAAACGAGGTATAGTACATAAATTTTCGCAAAATTTATTTATTATTTCGGAATTTGGTTCAACTACTGTAGATAGGAGTGAACCGAAATTGGAGGTAAAATGGTTATGTATGAGGCTAAGTTTATCGGGATGTACTAGTAGTTTAATTGTGTTATTTTTGATCGGGATAAACTGTTGATAAATTGTCAGGACAATGTGACAAAATTTGTTGCGAAACTTGAGTAAATTTATTCCTAAAGAAATTACATTTAATTGTTAATGTTTGAACAATTAGTAGTTACATATGTATTGGTAAAGTAATAGGATTGTAATGCATTTATGATCATGAGTTCTGTAATTAGGTGGATTTGATCAGTACACAGCATTGAAACGTATCTATCAATTTGTCTATCCGATTAATCATTCTGGTACCATATTAAATTATCGATGGAAGCTTTTTGACTCAATGCACACTCCCTAAAGAAAATTAATAGAGGAAATTACTGGTATTAGAATATAATATCGATGAGTAATGAAATAATTTTCGTAGATTTAATATCTTTCCGTAGAGTTCCTCAAAGTTCCTCATGAATCTTCAAAGATTTTTCGCTTCTTTTGTTCTCATCGAGTAAAGGAGTACAAAGTTCTGACTTTTACTACATTTTATAAGTTTCCAGCTTTTTCAGATTCGAACCACTGCCAACTATTTCATTCGCGATTGACACCTTCCTGTGCATTTTCCCGTGAAATTTTAAACGATCTTAAACGAAGTGAAAACACTGCGATCTTGCATATGCTTAAGTCTCTTGCAAATAGAAGGGTTGGTTTAAAAGAAATAACATTAAAGAAAAAAGTTGGTAACGCATGCGTACGAGATTGTTCACGCACATTCCTCGTAAATGTTCTTGTTGAGAAAAAAAAAAAAAAATGAAAGTAGTAGGAATTGATAGTCGTTCCACACGATCCGGGTGCACGCGAATAACAGTTTAAATCATCGCTGGAGAAACTTCGATGTACGTCCATTATGTAACCGCGATATTTCATTGTATCTTTATTTTTTTCTAACTTAGCTGTGAACGTTCGATTACATTATGTAGCAAAGTCGTGTAAAAAGTTGAACAAAACAGAGAGAAAACAAAACGTTTTGCTTCGTTTGACGTCAGCGTGATTAAGGAGTTTATTATTTTTGTTCTTGATTTTATAATTAAATCAGGATGTAAAGTATGTATGAGATATGGAGGGTATCGAACGGATTTCGACTCTAATTTAGTAATTAATTAATTTTTAACGATGAATTCCTCTCGCCAACTTCCGAGAGAAGAAACAGAATCAGGAGCTTTGTAAAATTCCTCTGGAATTATCGTATCGTTGAGATAATACAACGTTATTGCTTGGGACAGTAGCGCAGTTTGCCAAATACGATTTGAATAATTAGATGGAAACGTAAATAAAGCCGTCGCATCGGCCATTTAATTGCTGCGACGAGCAATTAAATTTCCAATCGGCGTGACGCTGAGATTGTCATAAACGGGTTGCTGCGAAAATCGGTTCGCTAATTGTCGCTAATTTCCTCGATTTGTTCCGATTGTCATGTTTCTCAGTTAATTCTCGACCCGACCTTTGATTATTCCTACCTGTAAGTTTGTATAGTCGAAGAAAACTGTAGGCGTACCGAACTATATGAAATGTCCCTAAAAGAGATAGCCTTGGTTCGTAATGTATCTCTGAGTATACTAGATTCAGATAACAATAATTAAAGTGTTAGAATGGAAACAACATACAATTATGTTTTTACTTGATTAAAATATGATTGCATGCTTTTAGAAGCTGTGAAAGTAAGAAGTCTGAAACAAGTTAATAGTGGTTGTAGAGAGGAGGAAAAATGGAATAAAATATATCTTGATGTAATTGAGGAAATATATATTTAACGAGGTAAACATTATTTGAGGGAAAACAAACAAAAATTAAACAAAAACGTTTCGTTACAACGAAAACTTGCTATAAAGTTTATTTAATCGAGTAATGTTTATTTGAAATATTCTTTGTTTTATTTCAACCTATGTACGATCTCATTTAACGAAATTATCTTTTTCAGATACGACTGTGGTAAATATAAAAGGTACCTATGCATATATCTATGTTTATAAATTAAACATTTAATTGCTAGTTTCTACATCTCATTAGCTGAACAGTAATTTTTCGTAATTAGGTCGAAATGTTTCTAAATAATATAAATTTTAATATACATCAAATTTAGATGTAAATGATCGCCCGATATTTAAATACAATTATAAAATAGGTAATATATGACTGTTTCTTGTATGTACGTATCTTGTTTCGCTATATACGATCGTTTATAATTAAGCTACGGTTCCCTGTTTTGCGGCAATTAAAAGATACACGAAGTTCTTAAATCCAATAATTAAATAATTAACTTTTAAATTCGATAATACTTTTAAGGTAAATACGTTGCACGTAGTCGGTTTCTTTCACATTAATTAGTCGATTGATTAACGTGTATTCAGTAGAAAGGAAAACTCTAGTGTGCCAAACACGATTTTTATTGCGAATTAATTGACCGAAATCGAGCATCTAGTTTGATGTGTGTTAATAATGCGATATACAGAAAAATTAGACAGAACCTGCGCTATTGAAATTAATTAGATTGAATATATTCAACTGATTCGTTTGCATTCTGAAAGTTACTTATGCCGTAGAAATTTGTTGTGAAATACACCGTACGATTGTTGTGGTATCAGATACTAACAAAAATATCGAGGTTCTAAGAAAATCACCCCGTACAATTTTCTCACGCGATCGATGAAATAGCTAGTATATGTGCTTTATCCTTAAATTCTCGTAGAATGTTTGATTTTTATGGTATCGACAGCAACGTCGTTTGTAACAGTGATACATTTTATAAGATAGACCGTGTTCTCTTTGTTTCCGCTGTTCCTCGACTTCCTTTGAATACGAAATATAGTTGTTGTGAAAACTCCCGGTAAAGTTTTCGAAACCCATATTCTGGAAGTTGGAAGATTTGCAACAAATATTCTGAACCTTCGATTTATAGTATTTTATACTTCCAATACATCGCATAGATTTAGAATTCATTTAAGAATTCATAATAGAGCAAACAGTGAGGAATATTATCAAACAATTGAAGTTTCAACGTTATAATTTATATTTTAATTTTTGAATAATATGGAATCTTTGGTTTCGCGTTGTGAAAGGATTGAGAATTGTAAAATCATATTTCAAAGTCTGAAATTTGAGTGGTAAATATATTTCAATGTTGAATAATCGTAGAAAATAGGGGCTATTTCATGATTACAAACATTCAATCAAAGTACATACCATTTTTATTTTTAAATTAAGGAATCATTTCTCAGAGGTAGAAAATTTGCAATGAATTCTTTCTGATTGTAAAAGTCTAATTAAGATTAAAATATTTGAGATTATAAAGATCTGTGTCGAATAGAAATTTTTCCAAATGAATAATAAATAACCAAGGGACGAATAAAAGGAAACATCCACGATTTTGAATATTGAAGTTTAAAAAACTTGATATTTTCCTCATTTTAAACGATAAGGTTCTGTGTACAGCGATTTGCAAGTTGGTTTGCACGAAACATTAAGTGCACAAAAGCGTTGCATGAAATACATCAAACTGTTTGGTGAGCAAACATGAAGGCACGTTCTCGCATTATGTGGTTACGCTACTGGAAAAATTGCATGCTGATTAACAGGGAGATGAACATGGCTCACATTCCAACTAACGACTTTCTTAATTCGGTAATTAGTTACCAGGTCGCCCTTAAACTTCGTGCTTATGGTAGATATTCAAATGATTAGGAACGGACGTTGAAAAGTATTTCCTCGTTACTTAGAGTCTTTATGCGAAAATGTAATGCTAGGTATGAAAACGCACAAGCGGTGCAAAATGTGTAGTCAATAAATGAAAGGAAAAATTAAGATAGGTTAAAATAAAGAGGAAAAAGATGTCACGTGTTTAAGGAAGGAATGAAAAATAATTAGACGATGATAAAAATGAAGGTATATGTGTAGTTGTAGTAATAAATAACATCGAAGAAAACGCATTGTTGTAATAATTTCTTATATATCTCGTTAGGAATTCAATATTAACAGAGATGTACTGATGTAAATGCACTTATTTTAAACTATATTTTGTTAGTTTTGTAAATAAAATGATTTCTCTGATTTAGTAACATCGAATAATATTAAATAATATATATAATATATATAATATATACAATATATATATATAATATTAAATAGTAAAATTTTCATGATTTACTGATTTACTTAATCTTAATCTTAATGTGTGTTCGATGTAAATCAAACTAATAGAGCATAACAAAGTATATTTAAATTATTTTTAATAGATGTAAATATGTGTATTTGTATTAAATATAAATAAATTTTATAGTTTAATATAATGGTTTCAGGCTTGCAATTAGTTGTATGGTGCAACTTTGGAATATTTGAATTTTGATCTCGTAGGTCGTAGTACAACAGAAGTCATACTTTTGTTTTTTTTTTTCGAAGTAATAA